GTCGTCGGCGGCGTGGTCGAGCTGCTGGACGGCGTGGTCGAGACCGTCGACGATGTCCTCACCGGCGGCGGCAACACCGGCGGCGGCGGCGGCGGCAACACCGGCGGCGGCAACATGAACGGCGGCAACATGAACGGCGGCTGCCACACCGGCAACTGCCACACCGGCGGCGACACCTGCCAGAACCGCTGCTCGTGCGGCGCCTGCGGCACCCACACCTGCCCGATGCCCACCATGAAGCCCACCCCCAAGCCGACCCCGATGCCCACCAACCCCCCGATGTACTGCATCCCGGGCTACAACTGCCCGACAACTCCGACCTCCGAGCCGCCGATGTACTGCATCCCGGGACACGACTGCCCGCCTGGCACCCAGCCGCCCATCTACTGCATCCCTGGCTACAACTGCCCGCCGGTCGGCCACCCGCAGCCGACCCTGCCCGGGCACTACGATCCGGACTTCCCGGACTACTACTACCCCATCCCGCCGCAGGATCAGCCTCACCAGCCCTGGCCCACGGTTCAGCCGACGCCCAAGCCCACGCCCAAGCCGACGCCCAAGCCCACCATGCAGCCGCCCAATCCCTGCCATGTGGAGTGCGGCCACTGCGGCCACTGTGGCAACACCCCGCACCACTGCCCCACCCAGCCTCCCCCCCCGCCCCCCAAGGGCGGCCTGCTGAACAACACCGTCGGCGGTGTGGTCCAGCTGCTGGACGGCGTGGTCGACAACCTGGGCGGCGTCCTGACCGGCAACAAGCGCCGCGACGTGGCCCCGGGCGGCCTGCTGAACAATGTCGTCGGCGGCGTGGTCCAGCTGCTGGACGGCGTGGTCGATACCGCTGACACTGTCCTCACCGGCGGCGGCAACACCGGCGGAGGCGGCAAGACCGGCGGCGGCGGCGGCGGTGGCGGCGGCGGCGGCCTGCTGAACAATGTCGTCGGCGGCGTGGTCGAGCTGCTGGACGGCGTGGTCGAGACCGTCGACGATGTCCTCACCGGCGGCGGCAACAC